GTCTGTGTGTATAAAAGGTAAAACAGAAAGGAAGATAATTAGTTTATTATACAATAGCTATTGTGCAATGAGCCTTTGTGTCAGTCATGTAATTCAGTTATGGACTCTTGAATCGTTTGCTAGACATCAAGACTCCAAGGAATGACTTGTATTGTTTTGTTTGATGATCCCCTGTTTTAATTACTTCTATATATACCTGCATTGTATTCAATAAAGTTTTACTTCACCCTTCACTAAGTGTTTTAAATTAAAGTTAAATAAAAAGCATGATCTCACCTGGCAAAGAACAAAAGCAAAAAACAAAAATGCCAAAAGAAAAAAAAAAATAAAGATCCAAAATGCTTATCAAAAAAGAGGGGCAAGTTCAGAGGGAAAAGAAATACCCTAGAACAGGTGTTCCCAACTCAGTCCTCAAGTACCCCTAACGATCCAGGATTTAGGGATTACCCTGTTGTGCCTAAAGTGTGTGGGTTTTTTTTGTTTTTTTTTAATCTAAAACCACTTTGGATAATCACTAAATTCTGGACTGTTAGGGAGTACTTGAGGACTGGGTTGGGAACCACTGCCCTAGAAGATAGATCCTAAAGGTTGAATCAATAATGGAGAGAGCCCACACCCAAGAGGTACTTAAGGTAAAAATCCACCACATCTCCATCCTGGACAGAATGTGGGTAAGATCACCTCTATTAAACGTGCAAATAATCCTAACAACGAATATGAATTCTAAACTATAAATATCACCAGAATGTAAAATGTCTATCCATAAAAGTTCATATATTATCATTTTCCATATGAGAATATGTTTACTAATCCTCTCCTATAACCTTCCTTCGGTTCTACCAATGTTTTGAATGTTACATACGTTGGAGGACATTTAATATATCCCAAATCTCCATGCACAACTAATGCTGAATTTTTATTTTAAATTGTTTTCCTGTAATGCTAGATATAAAAAACTGTTTTATGTTTGTAATTACAACTTTTACATGGATGAGGTCCACAAATAAAGTTACCAGCTTAAATTAACCAAGACTGTTTAGATGTCCCCACATCAATCTTATTCACAAAATTATTTGAGGAAAACCGATTGCTAATCATCTGAGCTTTCCTAGCTACAATTTTAATGTTATCATTTAAAATAAGAACTAAGTTCTCATATCTATAATGGATGTAAATAATTTAATATACATTAATAATAGACATAATCCTAGTGAATGATGTACTAAAAACATTCTTATTTTGTGTCAAAGAGAAAGTTCCCTGTGTAAAGGGGCAGAACCCCTTCTATCCATTAATGTCTGTCACATTTAAATGTTTTATTATAACCTAAACAAGAGTAGAACCAACAAAGTTTAATGCTATGGGAAACTAATCGTAATGTATAGGTCAGTTCAGATATTTATTCACATGGAGTTCAGTTGAATATTAGTTTACCAGATAAGTATTATGTCTAAAAGTAAAAAATCTTTATTGAATATTTGTAAGAAGAAAGAAAAAATTAAAAATAAAGAAAAACATTGTGTACTATATAATAAGAAGAAACATCAAACTTGCAAATGTGCTTGTGCAGAAAGTGCTTATGTTATGTTGGTGCAGGCGTTTGATAAATATTGTGAAATACCTAAACAAGGAACTAAATGCTAAATGATCTGAACTATGATATACACAATTTGTGCTCAGTGGCAAGAAGGTAGTTATCAAAAAGAGGTTGCATCTACAAATGCATGCACTGGGTTATTCTATGTTAATATATACAGGACCCTTCACTGTACCGTCAATATTAGCACCTTTATAATATACAACATAGTGATTGGTGCTAAGTAGCTAAACATGAGGGTTCTACAATTTTAAATAGATACATAGATACATAGCTGAAAAGAGACTTGCATCCATCAAATCCAGCCTCCTCACATTTGTTTTTTGCTATTGATCCAAAAGAAGGTAAAAAAAAAAACAGTTTGAAGCACTTCTAATTTTGCAACAAACTAGGAAAAAAATCCTTCTTGACCCCAGAATGGCAGTCAGATTAATCCTCAATAAGCTATTACCCTAAATTTAAAAATTATATCCTTGAATATTCTGTTTTTTCAACTATGCATCTAGTTGCTGTTTGAACATCTGTATGGACTCTGATAAAACCACTTCTCCAGGCAGAGAATTCCACATCCGTATTGTTCTTACAGTAAAAAAACCTTTTCTTTGCCTTAAATCTTCTTTCTTCCAGTCTAAATGCATGACCTTGTGTCCTTTGTAAAGTCTGGTTTGTGAATAGATTTCAACACAATAGTTTGCATTTGCCCCGGATATATTTGTATAATGTTATCATATCCCTTCTGAGGCAACGTTTTTCTAAACTAAAGAGGTTTAAATTTATTAACCTTTCTTCATAGCTGATATGTTTCATTCAATTATTAATTTTGTAGCCCGTCTCTGTACTTTTTCTAGTGCCATTAGATCCTTCTTTAGAACAGGTGCCCAAAATTGCACTGTATATTCAAGATGTGGTCTAACCAATGATTTATAAAGAGACATAATGATATTCTCATCCTGAGAATGAATGCCCTTTTTCATGCATGACAATACCCTACTGGCCTTAGCCACTGCTGATTGACATTGCACATTGTTACATAGTTTGTTGTCTATGACAATTTCCAAGTCCTTTTCATGTGTTGTTATCTCTAATTCGCTTCCATTAAGGGTATACGTTGCTTGTGCATGCTTTACGTTGAAGTGCATAACTTTGCATTTTTCAATATTAAATTTCATCTGCTATTTGAGTGCCCAGTCCATCTAAATCCCTCTGCATCAAAGTAATATCTTGCTCACATTGTATTACTTTACAGAGTTTTGTGTCATCTGCAAACACTGAAACATGACTTTCAATTAGGGATGAGCGAACCTGAATTGTAAAGTTCAGGTTCATACCGAACATTAAATTTTTTTGACCCCGAACCCGAGCCCAGGCATTTCAGTAACAGTTCGGGTTCGAGTTCAGTGTTCGGCGATTTAATGACGCATATTTGAAAAGCTACAGGGCAGCCAATCAACAAGCGTTTGACTTGTGTGCCCTTAGAAGCCATCACAGCCATTCCTACTAATAGCATGGCTGTGATTGGCCAGTGCAGCAAGTGACACAGCCTCTATATAAGCTGGAGTCACATGAGCTCTTATTAGTGTAGGGAGAGGATGCTGCAGCTGTGAGGGACAGATTAGGAAAGAATTCTGGTGTTGAATCTGCAAACTACAGCGATTATTTTTGTGGGTGCTATACTACAAATTTGTACCCTGCCCTGAGCCCAGTGCCACAGAGAAATAAGCAATCAGTATGTTTGTTAGGTGGGCACTTGCAACTGCATGTGTGCCAGGCACATTACTTTAATCCTGTTCTGGTAGCTCAGTGGGCAACATCTAGGCATTTTTAAATACTTCTGTGACATTGTAGTTTGAAAAATTCAAATTTGTTTTGGTGCTAAAAAGTACATTTGTGGTATGCACTTCATATCTGAGAGTCAAATAGAACCGTCAAATACTGTGGTTACATCGCAGTTTGAAAAATTCACATTTTTTTGGTGCTAAATAGTACATTTGTTGCCTGCGGTGTACTTCATATCTGAGAGTCAAATAGAACCATCAAATACTGTGGTTGCATCGCACTTTGAAATATTCACATTTTTTTGGTGCTAAATAGTACATTTGCAGCCTGCGGTGCATATCTTGCAGTCCAATAAAACCCTCAAATACTCTTGCATTGTTGGTTTAAAAAAAAAAAATCACACTTTTTTGTGCTAAGTAGAACATTTACGGCATGCGGTGCATTTCTTGCAGTCCAATAAAGCCCTTAAATACTACTGTTACATTGTTGGTTCAAAAAAAAAATCACACTTTTTTGTGCTAAATAGAACATTTGCGGCCTGCAGTGCATTTCTTGCAGTACAATAAAAATAAAAATAAAAATAATCACTGGAGAGAAAGAGAAAGTACCCCCCTAGCCACCCGCAATCCCTGGCCCTGAATGCCCGCATTTCAAAATTCCTGGCCTTTGAAATGCTGTCATTCCGTCTCGTGGAGATGGACAGTTTTAAAAACCTGATGGCGGTTGCTGCACCACAGTATGTGGTTCCCAGCCGCCACTACTTTTCCAGGCGGTCCATCCCTTCCCTGCACAATCAATTGGCGGACAAAATCAGGTGTGCACTGCGCAACGCCATCTGTGGCAAGGTCCATATAACCACTGATACGTGGACCAGTAAGCATGGGCAGGGACGCTATATCTCCCTACCTGCACACTGGGCAAATGTAGTGGTGGCTGGGCCTGAGGCGGATAGCAGTTTGGTGCATGTCCTTCCGCCACCGAGGATTGCAGGGCATTTCTCTTTGCCTCCTCCTACTCCGCTTCATCCTCCTCAACCACCTCCTCATCCGGTCAGTGTAACACCTTCATCACCAACTTCAGCACAGCCAGGGGGAAATGACAGCAGGCTGTTTTGAAACTGATATGTTTGGGGTAAAAACCCCACACCGCGCAGGAGTTGTGGACGGGCATGGAACAACAGACCGATGAATGGTTGTTGCCACTGAGCCTCAAGCCCGGCCTGGTGGTGTGCGGTAATGGGCAAAGTCTCGTAGCAGCTCTGGCCTAGCCGGTTTGATGCACATCCCTTGCCTGGCGCATGTGCTGAAGTTGGTGGTGCAGAAATTCCTGAAAAACTACCCAGATATATCAGAGCTGCTGCAGAAAGTGTGGGCCGTCTGTGCGCGCTTTCGGCTTTCTCACCATGCTGCTGCTCGCCTGTCTGCGATGCAGCATAACTTCAGCCTTCCAGCTCACCACCTCATATGCAACGTGCCCACAAGGTGGAACTCCGATAGTGGAGTTTTAGCTGCAGCACGCACGGGTCAGTTGCTCTGCACCAGACTTGCCTTCCAATAGATCCTCGTTAAAGGATTTAAAGTGTACTCATTCCAATTACAGGGCCTCGAAAGAGTCCTGTATTGTTATTTTTGTCACTACCTACCAGCGTCGGGAGTGGGCAATTTGGGTGCCTGCTACCTTCCTTGGATGTGGTAGCCGTTTCTCAGGCTCCCTCTCATGAATTGAACCCTGATTCCCCATTACCTGTGGTTACCATGGTAGGTGCAGAAAGTACCATCAAAAGTTGATAGGGCAGACATCCGAATGCATCGTCACCGTAACGGGGACGTGCGATCGGCCCGACGTTATCTAGAGTCACCAAAGTTCCTGCACAATGACTGCCAAGTTGCCCACATTCTAACTTGTGCTGATTACTGGGTGGCCACCCAGCTGGATCCACATTACAAGGACACTGTGCCGTCCTTAATTCCCTCACTGGAGCGTGATCGGAAGATGCGCAGCTACAAGCGCACGCTGGTATACGCGCTGCTGAGGGCTTTCCCAACTGACACCAGGGGCTCAGTGGAAGCACAAGGCGAAGGCAGAGGAGGAGGAAGAGGTCGCCAACACAGCTGGGGCACCGCCAGCACCTCAGAAGGCAGGGTTAGCATGGCCGAAATGTGGAAAAGCTTTGTCAGCACGCCACAACAACCAGCACCACCATCTGATATGGAACGTCTTAGCAGGAGGCAGCATTTCAGCAACATGGTGGAACGGTACGTGTGCACATGGCTACACGTACTGACTGATAGGTCTGCCCCATTCAACTTCTGGGTCTCCAAATTGGGCACATGGCTGGAGCTTGCCCTTTATGCCTTGGAGGTGCTGGCCTGCCCTGCATCCAGTGTATTGTCTGAAAGTGTGTTTAGCATGGCAGGGGGCATTATCACAGACAAGCTCACGTTTATTAAAATAAACAGGCATGGATCCCACCAGACTTGTCTGTATCTTGTGCAGAATAGACATTTATACCGGCCTCACCCAGCCATTGTTATACTCAAGTGCACTTATTCTTTGTTTTCTTTTTTTATATGTCCCAATATTCTGGGGGCTACACCAATTGTTTGCACTTGTCCTACTCTTCCCCCCATTTTCTTCCTTTTTGCAGCCCTCTAGCCCTTTCCAGGACTTTTTTAGAGCCATTTTAGTGCCCAAAAGTTCGGGTCCTCATTGACTTCAGTGGGGTTCGGGGTCAAGTTCGGGTCAAGTTCGAGTACAAACTTTTGAACCCTTTTTGAATTTAGATAGAAAGAAAAAAAGAAAATGGAGAGGGTAACTTGAACTAATAACAAAAAATTCTATATAGGGATAAAATTAATTAAAAGTCCAAGTGGACAATAAAACAAGACAAACAACATTCTTATGGATCAATTTTAGGGAAGTGACCAATGTGGACATTTTTGTCCACATGACTACTAACAAGATTGAACAACTACCAACATTACCAATTAGAAATCATAATTTATCTTACAATGAACAAAGAGCTTTAACTGAATTATGTAAGAATAAAAGTATTATCATCAAACAATCTGATAAAGGAGGTAACACTGTCTTACTGAACCGAGATATGTATATATCCATGTGTATGGACCATCTGATTGACTCATCATGCTATGAGAAACTCTCAAAAGATCCTACTACGGTTTTTGTTGAGGAATGAAAACAGATTCTGAATAAGGCTTCACTATGTAACATAATCACCAATGAGGAACTCAAATACATTCTACCAAACTATAACCCAGTGATTGCAACGTTCTACTGTCTCCCCAAGGTGCATAAAAATATACAACATCCATCAGGGAGACCCATGGTGTCTTTAAATAATTCACTAACTGAAAACGCTAGTACATTTTTTGAAAAACTTCTACACCCATATGTACTACAATTATCATCTTATATTCAGGACACAAAGCAAGCATTATTAATTTGGAAGACCTTACTGTCCCCCCCTACACTCAACTAGCTAGCTTGGATGTCGTCTCCCTTTACAATAACATTCCTCACGAGATGGGTCTCAGAGCAACAGAATACTTCTTAAACAAACAAGAGAAGCTGACTTCCTGTCAAAAAGAATTCATTTTGGAATTATTGCAGTTCATATTAACACACAATTATTTTCTGTTTAATGGGTATATTACCTCCAAATTAGGGGGACAGCCATGGGCACTGCATGTGCTCCAAGCTACGCTAATTTATATCTAGGATGGTGGGAAGAGACCATTTTATCACAGAGGCTCGCTACCAAATATAAAGACTATATCCTCCAATGGCATAGATATATGGACGATGTCTTGCTATTTTGGACTGGTTCCACTGATAAGTTACAAGAATTGGTACAGACCTTAAATCAAAATAACATTGGTCTTAAACTTACGTATGTGATTGACGATAAGAAGTTAGAAATCCTTGATTTAAGAATCTCTTTGGGATTAGATGGCTCAGTAGAAACAGAACTGTTTAGGAAATCCACAGCAACCAACAACTTGCTCCACTGGCAAAGTCACCACCCTCACAATATGAAGGCAGGTATCCCATGTGGGCAATATCTTTGAGCTAGAAGAAACTGCTCCAGCAAGGAATCATTTCTAAAGGAGGTTAAAGAATTGAAGATACGTTTTAAGGCCCAGGAGTACCCTAATAAAGTACTCCAAGGGGTGTTGTCAATGGAAAGATATGTCTGTTTAAGAACCAGCCGACCAGCACAAGTTAAACCTCTAATACGGTGCATTGACACTTTTGACAAACTATGGAATCGAGTTAAACAGATCTACAGTGACCATTGGCCAATCCTTACCAACAATACTGACCTGGCCAACCATCTGTCACCCTTTCCAAGTGTAACTACTCGCAGACCAAGAAATCTTTAAGATCTGCTGGTATACAGTTATATGGAATCAATTCCCACCCCTAAAACATGGCTCAATACCACGGATGGTACGTATCGATGCAGACACTGTAGGGCTTGTGATTTCATTAAACCTGCCAAAATCGTAGAATGTACACAAACATGTACACAATTTCCTATTAAACAAATTGTCAATTGCAGCTCTACTAAAGTGGTCTATTTAATCACCTGTAGCTGTGGAATTCAATACGTAGGGAAGACTTATCAGCAGTTTAGGAGAAGAATCCTACAACACGTCAACACAGTGACCAATTCTAACATTACCACCCCAGTGGCGAACCATGTTAGGAAAGTACACAATAGTGATGCCAGAAACTTACAGTTCCAAGCTCTAGAATTAATAATTCTTAATTCCAGGAAGGGGAACTTTATTTTAAAACTATTAAAACAAGAATCAAAATGGATAAATGTACTCCAAACTCTAACACCTTGTGGATTAAATGAGGAATTCAACTTTACTCCATTCATTCATGATTAACTCTAGCAAGCTCTTTATTTTATCTGAGTTCCTTTTCATTACTCACCTATTCAGCTAATATTCCCCTCCTCTTTCTATCGTGGTGTTTCCATCAGGAACAAGTGTTTTAATGTCAGTACCAATATGAAGCTAAAGAAAAACAAGTTACCTGCGCTCTCTCCTTAATCTCTATGTATTTTTAAACAAATTGAGGTTTTTTAGTTACCTCCAATGGACATGAGAGGATAAGCCCACCTGCCAACGTCAAGGCAGACCTCCCCAGGTGGGTCCTAACTCTAACCATTCACCTTGCTTCCTTGAGCTTCTGGCAAAGATCTCTAATGAGACAGAAAGGGGTATTTTTATATACACCCCTATATATTATTAACCCTTAATATGGAACACATGGGATGGGCGGCTGCATTGTAACAAGGCTGAGTGAAACAAAAAATGGATACAAATGCAGAAAGATAAGTCCTGCGCTCACTCCCATCAATGGGCGGCAGAAATGACTACAGTACACATCAGCCCCAATATATAGTAAAAACCAAAGAAAAACAAGTTACCTGTGCTCTCTTTTTAATCCCAATATGAAGCTAATAAATATATCAAAATCTATCTACATAAATATATCTGGTTGCTTAGACCTTACCAAACAATTTTCGAAAAATAAAAACAGTATGAAGTTAACATTAATAATATTGTCTCCATGACTTAAGCCTTATTGTTGTACATCTTTTGAGTAGTGTAATTGATTATGAATATTAATAAGGGAACATGACCAAAACCTAATACAGGGAGTGCAGAATTATTAGGCAAATGAGTATTTTGACCACATCATCCTCTTTATGCATGTTGTCTTACTCCAAGCTGTATAGGCTCGAAAGCCTACTACCAATTAAGCATATTAGGTGATGTGCATCTCTGTAATGAGAAGGGGTGTGGTCTAATGACATCAACACCCTATATCAGGTGTGCATAATTATTAGGCAACTTCCTTTCCTTTGGCAAAATGGGTCAAAAGAAGGACTTGACAGGCTCAGAAAAGTCAAAAATAGTGAGATATCTTGCAGAGGGATGCAGCACTCTTAAAATTGCAAAGCTTCTGAAGCGTGATCATCGAACAATCAAGCGTTTCATTCAAAATAGTCAACAGGGTCGCAAGAAGCGTGTGGAAAAACCAAGGCGCAAAATAACTGCCCATGAACTGAGAAAAGTCAAGCGTGCAGCTGCCACGATGCCACTTGCCACCAGTTTGGCCATATTTCAGAGCTGCAACATCACTGGAGTGCCCAAAAGCACAAGGTGTGCAATACTCAGAGACATGGCCAAGGTAAGAAAGGCTGAAAGACGACCACCACTGAACAAGACACACAAGCTGAAACGTCAAGACTGGGCCAAGAAATATCTCAAGACTGATTTTTCTAAGGTTTTAGGGACTGATGAAATGAGAGTGAGTCTTGATGGGCCAGATGGATGGGCCCGTGGCTGGATTGGTAAAGGGCAGAGAGCTCCAGTCCGACTCAGACGCCAGCAAGGTGGAGGTGGAGTACTGGTTTGGGCTGGTATCATCAAAGATGAGCTTGTGGGGCCTTTTCGGGTTGAGGATGGAGTCAAGCTCAACTCCCAGTCCTACTGCCAGTTCCTGGAAGACACCTTCTTCAAGCAGTGGTACAGGAAGAAGTCTGCATCCTTCAAGAAAAACATGATTTTCATGCAGGACAATGCTCCATCACACGCGTCCAAGTACTCCACAGCGTGGCTGGCAAGAAAGGGTATAAAAGAAGAAAATCTAATGACATGGCCTCCTTGTTCACCTGATCTGAACCCCATTGAGAACCTGTGGTCCATCATCAAATGTGAGATTTACAAGGAGGGAAAACAGTACACCTCTCTGAACAGTGTCTGGGAGGCTGTGGTTGCTGCTGCACGCAATGTTGATGGTGAACAGATCAAAACACTGACAGAATCCATGGATAGCAGGCTTTTGAGTGTCCTTGCAAAGAAAGGTGGCTATATTGGTCACTGATTTGTTTTTGTTTTGTTTTTGAATGTCAGAAATGTAT